TTTTTCAGTACCCGCGATTTCCTACTGAAGGAAACCCCTTTGAAGGCCGAGAGAGCCGAAAATCCTTCCTCCGGACCACCCGCCTCATCGTGCCCGAGAAAGTCCCCAGCGGGGATAAAACCTACACGTGCGAGAAATGTGCAAGATCCTTCCGGTACAGCTCCGAGCTCATCCGGCACGAGAAGACGCACACCGCGGAGAAATGCTTCGAGTGTCAGGAGTGCCGGCAGGCCTTCAAGTACTTCTCCAACCTGCGGCGCCACCTGAAGACCCACGGCGGCGAGAAGCCCTTCGAGTGCAGCCAGTGCGGGAAGACCTTCACGAGGAACTTCAACCTGATCCTGCACCAGAGGAACCACATGGGCGAGAAGCCCTACTCGTGCAAGGACTGTGGGAAGGCTTTCACGCAGCCATCCTCCCTGAGGAGCCACATGAGGACCCACACCGGAGAGAAGCCCTTCGAATGCTGCCACTGTGGGAAGACCTTCCGGGAGCACTCGTCGCTGAAGACACACGTGCGGACCCACACCCGAGAGAAGCCCTACCAGTGCAACCACTGCGGCAAGCCCTTCCGCACGAGCACCAACCTGAACGTGCACAAGAGGATCCACACCGGCGAGAAGCTCTACGAGTGCGCCACCTGCGGGCAGGTCCTGAGTCGGCTCTCCACCCTCAAGAGTCACATGCGGATCCACACCGGAGAGAAGCCCTACCCGTGCCCGGAGTGTGGGCGCGCCTTCGGGGAGCCTTCATCCCTCAGGAAGCATGCGAGGACCCACACCGGCAAGAAGCCCTACGTGTGCCCGCAGTGCGGGCGAGCCTTCGGCCAGTCCTCGCACCTCATCGTCCACGTGAGAACGCACACCACGGGGCGACCCTACGAATGCACTCAGTGTGACAAAGCCTTCCGGCACAGCTCTTCACTCAGTGTGCACAAGAGGATTCACGCCAGGGGAGAAAACGTCAGGACCGGCGACCTGCCTCTATCTGTGTCTCTGCCCATGGAAGGGCCCCTTGCTGATTAACCTCCTGTTTATACAGACTAAGCATCCGGGGCAGTAATCATCTCTCCTAGTACTCCTTTAGCTACATCCTCTATGGTGGCTCAGTGATGAAGAATCGCCTGCCAATGCAGGAGAGGAGGGTTCTATCCCTGGGTTGGGAAGATCCCCTGGAGAAGGAAATGGCAACCCACTCCAGTATTCTTGCCTGGGAAATCCCATGGATCCTGGTGGGCTGCAGTCCCTGGGGTCACAAAGACTCAGACATGACTGAGCGCGTGTACACACATGTAACACACCACAGGCAGAGTGTGTGATCTTTATGTTGTTGAATGTTAAGTGTTTATGGAGATTTGTTTTTAGGTCTAGGGCTTCCCTGATGGCTCAGGCGGTAAAGCATTTGCCTGCAATGCGGGAGACCTGGGTTCGATCCCTGGGCTGGGGCGATCCCCTAGAGAAGGAAATAGCAACCCACTCCAGTACTCTTGCCTGGAAAATGGCATGTCTTGGTAGTTGCCTGCCAAAACTGCCCCTTCTTACTTGCAAAAGCACCTAGGTATTTTTGTTCAGATTGGGACTATGCAATGTATATATATATATTTTGTGGCTTAAAGCAAGAGAATTTTATTCTGTCATACTTCTAGAGGGCAGAAGTTGAAATCAAGGTGTCTGCAGGGCCACGTTCCCTCTAAAGTCTCTAGGAGAGGAGGCTTCTTTGCCTCTTCCCACTTTGGGTGGCCCCAGGTGTGCCTTGCCTTGTGGCAGCATCGCCCCCATCGCTGCCTCCATCTTCACATGGCCTTCTCCTCTGTGGGTCTGTGTCCTCTCCTGTGTCTTCTAAGTGTCTCTTATAAGGACACATCATTGGATTTAGGATATCTATCCAGGATGGCCTCATCTCAAGATCTTTAATCTAATGACATCTGCAAAGACCCTTTTCCAACTGAATTCACAACCAGAGTTTCTAGGTGGACATATCTTTCGGTGATGGTGGTGGTGGGGGCCGCATTCATACCACTACACCATCAGGGAATGTGCATGATTAAAATACTTCCACCTCCCCGTCCTTCTTGCTGGCAGTGGAGGCCACGTTCTCCAGTCCTGGCCAGCAAGAGACATCTTTGAGTGTGAGTCCTGGGGAAGATGTCACAAAGGAATGGTTTCATCTAGCCAGATCCCTCTCCTTCTTCCCCGGTGGCTTGGACAGTGAAAAATCTGCCCACAATGCGGGATACCCAGCTTCAATCCCTGGGTCGGGAAGATCCTCTGGAGAAGGGAATGGCTACCTACTCCAGTATTCTTGCCTGGAGAATTCCATGAACAGAGGAGTCTGGCGGACTACAGTCCATGGGGTCACAAAGAGACTTCAGACACGACTGAGCGACTAACACTTTCACTTTCTCTCCTTCTTGCCTTTTGTACAAGCGGGCACCATATCTGGTGCTAGAGGAGGCATCCTGTGACCACAGGGGCGAAAGCAACAGTCTAAAGAGAGCATGGGGGACTTCCCTAGTGGTCCAGTGATTAGGACTTTGCGCTTCCAATACAGGGCTGAGGGTGTGATCCCTGGTCAGGGAACTAAGATCCCACAGCTGTATGGTGCTGCCAAATTAAACATATAAAAATAATAGATTAAAAAATAATAGATTGTGGCCAGAGCTACAACCATCTTGGTTCCCTGGTTGGTATCCTTGTGTGGGTGTACCAGCCCTGGGTTGTTTGTTTCTGGACATCTTGTTTACATGAAAAAGATGCACTTCTTACTGGTACATGACATTGTCTTTTTTGCGGGGAGGGGAGTTTGGGGGAGGGCAGGGATGGATTTATTGTGGCTGAATGCAGTCTCTAACTGATGCACTTAATATATGGTTCATTTTTATAAATGCTTCTTGGATGGTGGAAGTCAATGTATGGTATCCTATAAATGTCCACTAGATGGAGCATGCTCTTTGTGTATAAAAGTCTTTTACACATTTTAAAATACTGGTTTCTGTCTTAGCTCGGGCTGCTATAACAAAAATACTGGGTGGCTTACAAAGAACAGAAATTTATTTCTCACAGTTCTAGAGGTGGGAAGTCCAAGATCACAGCTGGCAGATTTGATGTCTGGGGAGGCCCCGCTTCCTAGTTCATAAATGGCCATCTTTTTGCCATGTCTCACATGGCAGAAGGGGAGCAAGAGAGCTCCCTGGAGTCTCGTTTGTAAGGGCACTGATCCCATTCATGAGAGCTCCATCCCTATGACCTAATCACCTCCCAAGGGCCTCACCTCTTAACCATCTCCTTGGGAGTTAGACTTCAGCATGTCAACTCCAGGGAGCACCAACATTCAGTCCTTAGCTTTCCAGTCTATCATTTACTGAGAAAGTTACATTAAACTCTCCTACCATATGTATGAATTGCTGAATGAGTCTTTTAATTCAAATTTCATATATTTTGAAGCAATGGAATTAAAAGATTTTTGACATCTTGTAAGCTTTCGGTTAAATGTTCCTTTTATTCTTATAGTGGCCATCTTTCTCCCTAGCAAGGAATATTCAGCCATTCATCATCATAATAGCAAATGATTATTTAGTGCTTATTATTGCTAGATAGTATTATAGCTACTACCCTAAACTTTGTATCTTTTAAGTTATTTAGTCCTTACAATGACACTTTGAGGAAGGTACTGTTACTATCCCCAATTCATAGATGAGGAAACTGAGGCCTGGTAAGTTAACTGAGGTCCTGCAGGTGGTAAGTGACAGTCTGGCTCTCGCTACAGAACTTCACTGCAGGGAGCTGTTGTCCATTTCACCTGAACTCAGAGTTCTGTTTTTGTGTTTTAAAGTTTTGTCCTTTTTTCCCCCCACACTGAAAGGCTTTGTGGGATCTCAGTTCCCTGACAAAGGATTGAACCCACACCCTTGGCAGTGAAAGTGCAGAGTTCTAACCACTGGATTGCCAGGGAATTCCCCTAAAGTTCTTTAATTGAGACATAACTTACGTAAAAGTCCATAAGTCTTAGTGTTCACCTCAGTGAATTATATATACATAGCTATACTACTCTAGAGTAGGGAATGGCTACCCACTGCAGTATTCTTGCCTGGAGAAGTCCATGGACAGAGAGCCTGGTGGGGTACAGTTCATAGGGTCACAAAGTTGGACATGACTGAGTGACACTTTCACACCACCCACATAAAAAAAAAAAAATTCTATCTTCCCAGAAGGTTCTCTTCGGCCCGACCCAGGTCAGTAAGCCCCATCTCCAGAGTTAACCAGTATTCTGACTTCTGTCACCATAGATTTGTTTTTCCTGTTCAGAAAAATAGAACCACACAGTACGCCTTCTTGTGTCTGATGTTTTCACTTAATATAGTGCCTATGAACTTTATCATTGTCACATTGTCAGTAGATCTCTTTTAAAATTGCTGTGTAATATTCCATTGTCAATACACTACAGTTAAAAAATTTCACTCTGTTTATGGACATCTGGGTTCTTTCCCAATGCTGTTATGAATAAAGCTGCTATGAGTATTCTTGTGTACATCTTCTTGTGAACATATCTCCTTATTTCTCTTGGGTATAAAACCTAGACATGGTATTTCTGGGTCATTGCATAGGCATATTTTTAGCTTCGGTAGATATTGCTAATCAGTTTTCCAGAGTGGTTGAAACAGTTCATGCTTCCATCATCAATCGGGAATCCCTGGTGATTGGTAATGTGGTAAAGGAGGAGACCACCTGCGATGGAGGAGATGCAAGTTCAATTCCTGGGCTGGGGAGATCCCCTGGTGAAGGGAATGGCAACTCACTCCAGTGTTCTTGCCTGGGAAATCCAATGGACAGAGGAGTCTGGTGGGCTACAGTCCGTGGGGTTGAGAAAGTGTTGGACACAACTCAGCAACTAAACAACCAACCGCCACATCAGTAGATTAAAGTTTCATTTGCTTCATATCCTTGACAGCACATGCTACTGTCAATTTATTTATAGCTGTGTTAGTGGGTAAGTGATTTCTTATGTTTTACCTTGCTTTATTTTGTGTGTGTGAATAGTGATGTAGATTGCTGCACGGTGATTTCATCCATTCTCTTTTGTACACCTCTCTTCAGTGTGACTTTGATGCTTCTCTTATCAAGAGGTGGAGTTTATTTCTCTATCCTTTGAAGATGAACTTGATCACATGACTTTCTTTGGCCAGTGAAACATTATCAAACATGATAGAAATAGAAGCTAGAAAAACAACATTGGGGGACTTCCCTGGTGGTCCAATTGTTAAGAATCCACCTGCCAGTGTAGGGGACACTGGTTTGATCCCTGGTCCAGGAAGATCCCACAGGCCACGGGGCAACTCAACTCTGTGAGCCACAGCTATTGAGTCTGTGCTCTAGAGCCCGGGAGCTGCAGTTAACTGAAAACTGCCCACCCTAGAGCCTGTGCTCTGCAACAAAGAGAACCCTCTGCAATGAGAAGCCTGTGCACTGCACCAGAGAGCCCCTCCTTACTGCAATGAGAGTAAGCAACAAAGACACAGTGCAGCCAAAAGTAAATAATTAAAGAAGAAAAACACATTAGCCTTTGCCATCTTTTAGCTCAAGATTAGATTCTTGAGGACAGTGTGATGAAGCCTGGGACAGCTTCCTCTAGGATTAGACACCACATGGAGAGAGAGGATTTGCTGATGGTCAGCAACAATCCTCAGACAGGTGAGTGAGGCCTCCTTAGACCATCTGACTCCAGACAAGCCATCAGGTGACTTAAGTCTCATGAATGACCCTGGGTATCAGCACTGCCCAGGTGAGTTTGTCTCAAATGCCGACTCAAAGAATTGTGAGCATATAAGCTGGTCAGGCAGCAGTACATAACTGACACAGACGTTTGTATCAGAAATAGGATGTGGCTGAAACAAAAGCTTCAAGTGTGGCATTGACTTTAGAGCTTTGCAGCAAGAAAGCAGACGAGAAGGGTGAGGAAACTTAGTGGCTGGAAATATGGTGAGAAAACTGCCGCGAGAGGTTCAGAAAAGGTTTTGTGGTTATGTGGTAGGGAAGCCACTGGTGGTAATGTTGTCTGTAGTAGCTTAGGAGATAGAACATGTACTTAGTGATGTTGTGGATCTGGCTGAGGAGGGAGACTTTCTCCCCATCTCTGGCCCTCTCCATAATCTTCCTTACGAGTGCCTGGTG